AATTACAAAAATGGTCTGATATATTAAACCGTTTCTAGCCCGGTCAAAAATGATGTAATCTAAAAGAATATTCAATAATTAATTTATAAATAAACTAATGTTTTTTCTACATTAAAATATACTATACAGGGTGGCCATTATTAATATTTTAATATAAATATTAAATTACGTTACCGAATAGCAAAGTTGGAGTTATTTAAAGACGTCTGATTGAGCATCGAATTATATATGTTTTGCTTCTACGTATTTTTTAGACAGATATTAAAGTATACCTATAATTTATCACTTAACTAAAGAAACATTATTCAAAAATAAGAACAAGAAACGAAGAAATTTGTCAGAATAAGCAGATGGATTAAAAAATACATAATACCTTAGGAAATGCAGATAAAACCGATAAAGCGCGTGTTCATTATGGCTTTTGATATGGTTTTTTTTTTTCTATGTTATCATTAGATCGTATTTTTTTTATTTAATACTAAATATTGTTAATTTTTTTTTTTTTGTCATCGGCTTCAACTGCTAAGGTTATTTCGCCTCGTGTTCTGTGTAGGCTTTGTTACTGTTTCCCAGCGCCACTTTAGGAACAGCACTGTTAATTAGTATCCAACAGTGAATGGTCGAGTGGGGAATCCTACCAAGGCATCAGAATTAATTTTAAATAATTAAATTAAATGAAAAAATTCCGGCCAACGGTGGGATTCGAACCTGGGACCCTTGGATCCACAGGCAGAGGCTCTACTGAGTCACCCACCCCCCTATTGTTCATTTTAATTTTAAACTCTTTTATTTTGATTATTTACCTGAGGTGTGTCGCAGTTATGGTAAAAAATTTTGGGCCAAAGAATAATAATGACTTTTGACTAAGTTAATTTTTGAAATATTGTGCCGGAATCTCTATATTACTGACTAAGCGTATTAAGCAGAAATTTTTTTAAATAGGTATTATGTGAACTAAGACTGGCAGACACTGTCCCATTAGAGAAAAGTACAGAGGGTAGATTAGATTAGATTTAATTAGGACTTTGAGCCATGTTCTATCTATCTGAATTAGGGCGTGGTTCAAAGCCCACTCGTACTGAAGCTCTAGGTTTATTGTACCCCTCACAGTTTCTACCCCATCAGATTAAATTTCTTGATGAATTCAAGAATATAAGAATATGTCTAATGGGCGCTTTCGCGATTTCTTCAGGTTTCAGATATTGTACCCCGAAATAATATTCCCGTTCCCATTTAAGGTTCCGACAGTGGCATAGTATATGAAGAGGAGTCATCAGATATCCCTAAGAGATTTAGGTGTCTTCTAAGGCCGCAGTGTCTCGTAAAGAGTCCTATTACGGCCTTGAGTTCGCTTCTGCTAATGTTAAGCAAGTCATTTTGTCTGCTTTGTGGATAAGGTTCCTATATGAATCTTTTGGACTATCTAAGTCCAAGAAGTTCCAACTAGATCCTATGGTGTTCTCTATTTATTTGTTCCTTTAACACCCATTTAACATGTTGGTATGAAATACTTGCTTTTTCCGCTCCCTTCCTTGCAAGAAGGTCTGCTTTTTCGTTTCCAAACACTCTCTGATGTCCCGGCACGCAATCAGGGTGACCTTGTTATGTTCTGCCAGAGCCTGGAGGGACTGTTGGCAATCCAGTATTGATTTAGATTGTACTTCTATCCTTTTCAGTGCTTTAAGGGCTGTCTGACTGTCTGTTATGATAAAGACCCTCTTATCTCTAAAAGAGTCATTTAGCATGACTTAGACGCAGGCATTTATTGCTGTTACTTCAGCCTGAGCCATGTTGCTTTTCCCACCTCGACCTTTTCAGATCTATTGTGGATATTTATTCTTTAATCGTTGTTTAGAGTACCTTGTCGAGTTTGATCTTTTGTAGTAGACGCTATAGACTAGGAAGTAATTCTTTGACCTAGCTAGTTGCCCATGGTTTTTCTTCTTCAAGTGTATGGAATATCAGTCTGATAGACCTTTACAGTAGCACAAAAAGTGTACTGCAGCATTCTTCTTATTCTAGCAAAATCAGCACAAGGTCTCTTCTGCCAGACCAGTGTTATACATATGTGTCTTAAGTCTACAATGCCCTGTTAATAGACACACTATTATTTTAGTATTTTTCCCATTGTCGCTTAGCAGATGCTAGGTGAGTTTAGGCGATGGTCCTTTTAGGAACTTCTTGGCCTATCTCTGTCCTTGTGACTTTTTCCACCATTCGTGATATTTGTTAAACATCCACTGCCATGTGCATGTCTGATAGCTGTCTTTGTGATACCACAGAATTGTCATGGGCCAATAAAAAGCCTCTGAGGCTCCTTCTTGAGCTAGTAAATTAGCCTTTTTCTTGCCCTTATGTCCATTGTGGCCTGGTGGTAGAAGTAGTCGCACAAAAGCTTTGAGTGTACGTGCATGGAACTGAGTGCTTTTAACATCGTTTGACAGAGGGGTAAAATGCTCTTTACGCACCTCTGTTAAACAGGGAGTATGGGACTCGCCCATATGTATTAAACACTTAAACTCCACCTCTTTTCATGGCCTTTTATCAAGTGTACTGGAACCAAACTTTCGATTTTAACATTAGTGCATTCAGGCCGTTCTTTCTGATAATCTCTCTCTTCTTCTTCTTCTCTTTTTATTATTTGTTTCGTTCAACCACTACGCAATATTGTTTAATTGTTGGGGTGGGTATTTGGTTTCACTGGATATCTGTGCACTAACTTGCGTACCTAGCAAACCTTAGCAACGATCACCATAGTCGCGGGCCGTGATTCATAATTTGCCATTTATAAGAGGTTAGCTGTTATCTTTTAATTTGACTTTGACGTTTAAGGTTGTGATTAAAAGAAATTATTTACTTTTCCGCGAATATAATTAACCACTTTTGTTTTATCCAAATAGTTTCTAATCCTATTTAAAAATAGTAGTTTGTGCAACAAGACTGGATATAATGGCCATGTACGAAGACAAAATTTGAACATGACGCCGTAAGCGAAGTGCTCATTCAAGTGCGATATGGACAATCCACTCGAGTTTTACAGTATATTTTTTCTACGACCCACTAACGAAAATCTACAAATAATAAAAATTATTTTAGGTTAAGATAAAATATTTCATTTAAAAATAATTTGACTTTTATTTACTTTTGAAATAAAATAAACAAGAAAAAAAGAAAAAAGTTAATATCAGTTTCTCCCAGCCGAGAATCGAACTCGAGTCTTCCGTATGGAAGGCAAGGACGCTGACAGAAGAACCATCTATACGCTTATTTTGCTTGCTTTAATACTTGTAATTAAATTGACTTCATATAGTTTTGTTTAAATTAACTAATTATTTTTAATTATATACGAAATAAAAATAGAAATGCTATTATTTAATGATTCTACACAAGAATAACCCATTTTAATGTATGTCTTATCTCAATAACTAAAAAATATACTTACAGTTAATTTGACAGAATTGTCACTTATTTCAAATTTTAAAAATAATAGCAGTCGGTTGATCAAAATATGAACGGTGATTGGTGGATTTCATTTTTTTTTTTTGCAATGTTCTCACTACCTAGAACGGATATGAAATATATTCGTTCGCATACTTTTTCGTTTTGTAATCTGTGCGTAGATAAACTAATACCCATGTAGTTGTAGAAAAAAATAAGTTAAAGGAGAAAGGGTTTATTATTATTAAGACCTATATATGCCCATTAAATGTTTTATATTGCAGCTCATTTACCCTTTCTAAAAAAAATCTAAACAAATATTAAAACATCCTATACATATAAGTGAAAACATATACCTAGATCTAATATTGAATATAAACTTCGTATTTTTGGACTTTATATTATTTCATTTAAGAGACGCATAAAGATTATAAATAGCAGACATTTTGAAATTGGGAGAATAGGGAGTTAGTTCTGCGATACCGGTGACGTCGGAAAATTCAAAAACATACATTTTTAGATTTACAGAATGTGGGAATTATACCAAACTAGCGAAATTGTTTTTACTAAAATAAAAAATTATGTACTTACATGCACTTAATCAGTTTAATCAGAGTAGTTTCATATTCATCGTATAGATTACATAAAGTTATGATATTTTTCTGCAAATATTTTATTAATGCTGTTTGATAAATAGCACATACACGCTCGCGCTTAAAAATAAAAGGGGGCTTATTCTCTATTCAGCGTTTTTGAAAGCACTCTTTTTAGAAACGCGACAAACAACTAACAAAAATGTAATGAACAAAAGTTTTGGTATTCTTTACTTGCTGTGCTGTTCGTATATGAAAAACGTAAAGCGCTTTTAAAAAAGTTACACATTATTAGCGTTTTGCTGTTCTTACTTCAAGTTTTGATGTTTAAGGCTAAGATTTGCGGACACAGATACAAACAAAAAATTATGGACCTATATAATTTGACTTGTATATTAAAATCTCAATAACTTTATAATATTTATTATATTCTTAAGTCGTTATAATTTTGGAATTGACCTCAATAATAGAGTTTGATTTTGAGCTCTATCCAGTTGCTTTTAAACTATTGCTATCATGTCGGTCTCCTCACGTAGTGGCCTATCTAACAAATTTAATAATTTTGAGTTACGCCGTTTTTAGGAACAATTTTAACCGCTTTTCAAACTGAATAAATTTTACAACTCTAGGTGCAATCGATTTTAAGATAATTCCTTTACTTAGCTCGGCTTAACTAGCATTTCTAAAAAAAAAGATAACACGTAGAGGCGTAATTTATGATACAACTCTACGTGAGAACAAAAATCTTTAGCTTTGATCTTATTTTTTGGCTTATCTGCGAAGCACGTATTTTGTAAACATAACCTAAAAATTAGTTATTTGTTTGTTTAAAGTAGAGTTCTGCAAATTCATAAACAATAAAAATGGACGTTCTTGTGCTCTGGGACGATAAAACCCAGAATGTGGTATCATCTAAAGAGTTGAAAACAGAAAAATTACAAAAGGTTTAAAGTTGGAAATAGAGTAAAGATGAAATGGAACAGAAAGTGGTACTATGGAACGGTTTTGGACAAAGAGAGAGTGCCGAGTTGTGTTGATTCCTCAGATGATGACGTACCCTTAATAAAAATTGCCGAAAATCTTAGAAACCAAGTAAGTTTAATGTTCTGTTATTGGCTCGGCTGCAATGTAACGCTTAATGGTACCCAGTAATGGTGTAAATAGTATTGGTGACGACCAATCGATGGTGCTACCCAGTTCTATGTACTATGTTTATTAGTGGTGAAGAATAATCGATAGCACTATCGATAGTTCTCCACCAATATTTTTTAGTGTAAACGTTGTGTTTTTGTAATATAATGTAAATGTTTGGGTTTTAGGTTACGTCAGGCATTGAAAAACAAGCAGAGCATCAAATCACGATCTTAGAATCTGGAACTGAGACTGTAAGTTGTTAGCTTCCTCAAGCCTTATTTAATTTGACATAGTTATCGCGATAAAATAAGTGTGCCTTTACTAAACTTTTTAGCATTATAATATTAATAGGAATTTATTTTAATTTAGGTTAAGGACAATCAAAAACAACAAGATAATTAAAAAATTACTTCACATTTTGTCACTGAGGCTGTTGACAAAAATTTTGTCACTGAGGCTGTCGAGAGAATCAATATGGAATACAGAGATGTGAGTTAATAGCTTTGTTCAATAAAACATAGTAAACAAAATCTGTTATAGTGACGTTACTGAAATTATTTAAAAAATAAACCAGCAACTGTTGAAACGTCATTTCTCAGCATGGCAACACATTAATGGACCATCGCTTATTAAACTAAAATGAATAAAGATTTTAGCTGCCCTTGGTCTGTTCCTTGTCTGTTACCTAATTATTTTGTTTTCAGGATGATCCGGCAGACGACATTTCATCTCATTACGACTCCGATGCCGATCCTCCTTTCGGAATTTGTCAAATAAAAAGATGCTCCCTAGAGATTTTTGCTGCATGTTACAGGTGTGAAATTCTAATGTGCTTTAACCATTTTATGGAAGTAATCAACAACTGTAAGTACCATGGAAAAGGTTTTATTTCTTTAAAAACAGACTTGCCAAAAGAAGGTGTGGACCATTTACCCACCAAAGAGAATATTGACAAAGAAAACATTAATCCAGTCCCAGGTGACGTACAAAATGTGACTAGTAATAAGATGATTACAAAAGACGCTGGAATAGTAACAGAATAACATACAAGCTTTGAACCTGAAAGTTTTTCTATAGAAGAAACTTCAGAGGAAGTTGAAAAGAAAAAAAAAGAGAATTAATAAACAAAAGCTAGCTAAGTTGCTACGCAATTTAGGCAAGGAGTATCTCAGTGCAACAACCAAAAAAATTGTGTCAGCCAAAAAAATGAAAGACAGATGTTTGATGGGAAAATGCAAGAAAATGGATAAGGAATGTGACGATATTAATATAGATCAAAGAGAGGAAATTTTCAAAAACTTTTATAGCGTGGGCGATCTAGCTCTACAAAGAGAGTTTTTGGCTCAGCACGTAAAAGTATTTTTTAAAAAACGACTAACTGTTGGAGAAAATTCAATAAGAGAAAATACAAGGTTGTATCAACTAACAGTAAATAATAAGAAAATCAATGTTTGCAAAACGTTTTTGTTAAGTACTGTTGGCATTTCTGAGCGTACAGTTCGAACTGCTCTTTCGAAAGTTAATGAAACCGGAATCATGGAAAAAGAAAAAAGAGGTGGCAAAAAAAGAAGCGAAGAAGTGCTGAACTGGAAAAAAAAAAGGAAAAAAAGACATAGAAAATCATATTGATAGATTTCCTCGCGTTGAATCACATTTTTGTAGAGCAAGCAGTAGTAAAATGTATCTGCAACCTGATTTGTCCTTTAGAAAGATGTATAAAATGTTCTCAGATGAGCAAAAGGCAAAGGGTGTAGATAATATTTAAAGTTTTTCGTCATACAAAAAGATATTCAAAACAAAAAATTTATCATTTTTTGGGCCGAAGAAAGACCAGTGTTCTCTATGTGTAACTTTTCAGACAGGGAATGATGAAATCAAAAATTCTTTGAAAGAAAAATATGAAAAACACATTTTAGAAAAAAAAAATGGTAAGACACTGGAAAAACGAAAGTAAGAATAAAGCTCAAGATGATACAGCATCCAGAGCATGTATGGTGTTTGATCTTCAACAGGTCATTTACTTGCCCATTTCCAAAGAAAGTGCAATATTTTACAAATCCAGACTACGTGTTTTTAATTTTACTGTTTATGATGTTGTAAGTAAAGAATGTTTCTGCTACATATCACGTAGTGGTGTATCTACATCAAAAACCCTTTTTCTTTAAACTGGTAAAGCTTTTTATATTGCTGATGGTTTAGAAAAAGAGTTTCAAGTCCTGTCTAACACATTGGAAACAAAAAAAAATTAACATTATAATTTTTTTCCGCAACGTTTAGTCTTTTAGACACTTTTTTTGTTTTTTCGCTCTCCTGTAAAATTTATAAAATGCTAGTTACGCCACTACGTGAGGAGACCGACGAACATTCAAATGCTAATCTTAGTTATTCAGACCAATCAGCATTAACCATTTATAAATATGACATCTTACGAAACAAATGAATATCACTTGAAAAGAGCAAAAGCGTCTAGCATTAGAGAATACCAGAATCGCATGCTTGTCGTTTTGATAATCGTTTTATACGTTGTTATACGTTTTCAGCTGAAACTTAGAGAATAACCCCCAGAACGGCCCCGTTCAGTCTGAAAGCATGATAAACAATGAGCAATAGATAAGAGCGCAACCGATTTACCATGGAAGGTAAGAATCCAAAAGACCATAACATCTCACATTAAAAGTCCAATTGAACAATTGTTAAGGCATTTTTTAAAAACTAAAGTCTTATTTTAATTTAATCTTTCAAATAAAATCGTGTTATTTTTGTAGATTAAAAGTAACATTAATAATAGAGTTAATTTAAAAAAAGTACTTTTTGTTGTGAATATTTTTATGTAATTCTTATCCGCAAACTTTTAGTAGCTACAATATATTTTTTTTTTTCAGTTACAAGATTTAAAAAACTAAATATCCTCATTTTTACGGTATGTTTTAATTAAATAATTATATAAATTAGCAGTAAAAACTAATTTTTATTTAAAAAATTATTTTACAAAAGACTTTCGCCTTTAAGCCATCAGTGCTTATCTACCATAAAATAAGTGTGACTGTAAATAACTGTGATGAAAAGTTAAAAGATAAATTTCTATTGTTGTCAAATCCGATTAAGCTAGAATCCTGGGAAATTACAAATGAAGAATTCCTTAAACTTGACTTGTCTGGGTAAGGGATTGCTAACTCAATCTATATTACCAATCAAAAAAGCAGTCAAAGGTGACAGATTAAAAAACTAACTCCGAACTTTTGAAAACAAATTCATACATTTTTAATAGTAAAAGTAATAGTAAAAATAAAAGTAAAAAATATTGTCCGACTGTTAGTTAAACACAATAATTATAATCTATTAAAATGTCTTCAACACTGTTATATTAAAAAAAAAAATTGGAAACTTTTTAAATTTGTAATTTTATGATTTCATCTGTTGTTTTGACAAGTTGTAGAAGACAAGTAACAACTGGTGATATTACAAATGAAAATCAAGAAGAACATCAAAAAATTGATGGTGAGTACAGTTATGGGATTCTCATTTTTCGATACGTCTCACATCGAGATACCTATCTTCGTTCGATAGACTGTGCGATTCTTATAAAGGGTTTTTCAATAAGAGGTACCTGATATTGAAAGATTATATTTACAATAGGGTGCCATGTTTTGATGACAGTGAGTTGATCACAATTTTTTTTTATGAATCGCTGGTTCTTGCAAAATTTATTTAAAGAGAAACAGAGATGGGACGAATCAATCCATGTAGTCCCGAAGTGTATTCTACAGATTAATATGAAATGTTCTAACTAGCGCAAAAAGAACACATTATAAAATTCCGAGCCGCTCGACTAAGCCTTTTTCAGTCATTTTCACCTTACTTTTAATTCCATCATTAAAGCCTACTTAAGGATTTTCACCCTAATGCGGGAAAACTACTCGTATATTATGACCTTTCTATTGTTGTACTCCTATCATTTTATAAGCCAAGTTAGAATATTATTTAGTTTACAAATTTAAATCAAGTATAGTAATTCTTTTTCTGTTATTTAAATTACGGACATTTTACGTGAAAACTAACTGAATGCTTTGCGTTTGGAAAAAGACAAACGAAATAGACCCTGCAACTAGTATTCTATTTTTAGATATAATCTTATTATTAGAGATTTTCAATATTAGCATGTGAGGGTCGGCATTAGTTATAAATATTATTGGTTTAACAAATAGTTTTCTACCGCTTAACACATTCACAAAAAAATTCAAATTCTCAGTTATATATTTTTTAAACTTTTATATAAAATCATGTCATGTACTACTGTAATCAATATTTGGAGTGGACACTGAACGGATTTTCCGAATCCGTGTTCGTCTTTGACGTCTACCCTTCCTCATTTAAATTCCGCAACACATTTTATGGTGACGTACGAAGGATAATGATCCTTCAGTATAATATGCACGGATTTCCTTGCCAGACAACTTCCTTTCAAAAACAGATACTTTATCACCGACCGATACCCGATTTTATCGAAATTGAGATCTTTGCCTGATGGTTTAAAAATTCACATTACAGAAACACTTTAAATTATTAAAATTAATGGAATTGACTGTAATATAATATAATAAAATTGTATTTACCACTTTTGATTTTTGTAAAAAGGATATAAGTGCTTCTAATTTTTTATGACCATTAATATAGCAGTTTTCAAGTCCACATTGTCCACTTTATGAAAATTAATAACTGTAATATTGTTACAAAATCTTGAAGATGAAGAGATATTGATAAAAATGGTGTGTAGCAACTTCAAATACATCATTCTTAAGACTAAGAACTAAAAGATTTATTTATGCCTTCGAAAAGATATTTATCTGATACATTTTTGTTATCCTCATCTTATTTTTCAATGCAACACATATAGGGTGGCCAGGTGAAAACATATCAAAGTCATTCAGGACTTCTGTCAACACATTAGACAAATTCTCAAGCCCGTTAATGTTCTATTAAAGGGTGACATTTTTCTATCACATCCTTGACTGTCATATGTCATTCTTCTCCCCTCTGTCACTCTAACTAAACAATTTAAATAGGGTAAAGTATCAAGTAACTACATCATTGACATAAATGATATGGAGTATTTAGCAATATAACAAATCATTGCGTTATGATTTTAAAACCCTCTGACGGAATACAAAAGAAAGCTTTGAAAATGGTACAATAGTGCAAGTCATCAGTAATGCCAAGAAGAAAGATTTACTAAACCTTTTCGAATCAGGTGCAATACCTAATAAATTTCACTATTATTATCACAATCTGCCTGTGTATCCAATGATGTTAAAGAAACGATATATGAACGTTCCATTGAAGATAGTAACACAGACGCTGGAGTTCAGGACTTTTATGTAGACAGCTAAAGTAAGCTAAGTGACGTTTCTTTCTTTTTTTGTTACGAATCAATAGAGTCTTATGTTTGTACTTTGTGAAGACTAATTATGTTTTAAATATCTTTTTAACTAAAGTTATTTTTAAATAAACAGTTAAAGATTTTACTGGATTTTTTATTGATTTTAATCTTTTGAATAGCATTTTCTCAAAAGTCTAAAAATGTGAATTATCTTGCTTTTGCAGTATCCCGATGATAAGGTAGTTCCGTTTTTAACTGAAGGTGATTCCATAACCATTTCTTTTTGTCGAAGTGGGGACAGAATACTAAAATGATGTATACTTTAAATATGTTCATATTGTACATATCGCCTAGTGAGAACATTAGTGACCTAACTCCGAAAATGGCGATCTGAGATAATCGCAGTTGAAGTTTGTACGAAAATTTATTTTTTTTTTGGCTCTACGTTTGGAACTATCTTACAGATTTTTTTTTCTCTAAATTTTAAATATCTTTCAAGTCGTAATGTAACACGTTTTTTGTTTTTTTTTTTTCGAGTAAATGAATATTAACGATGTTACATTAGTCAGTATTGCGTTCGAAGTTGAAAATAAAAATACCAGGCATTACTGACGACTACTGCCACCGAGGAAATAGTAGAAGAACTATAATTTCGCCATTTATGTA